CCGGGCTCCGAGTGAGTCAATTACCGGGCCGGGGGGGGGAGGGCCTTCGGGCCAGCCGTTGGGAACGGGAGGGCGCGGGAGTGTGATCACTCGCAGCTTGGTGTCCTTTCACTTCCCGGCCCGGCCATTTTCCACCATTTCTGTCCAACCGGGGGGGGGGGGGATGTAATTGGGCGACAGGTGGGAGGCTGGACATTGGATTCTCCGGGGGACTTGGAGGGCGCCAAAGAGGGGCCCCGCTGATGACGAGTGCCGATCAGCGCCCCTAGCACCCGCTTCCCCCCTCTACTTCTTCCCCTTTCCCCCATTACCTCCGATTTTTTTTCCTTTACGCCCTCTCTCCCCCCCCCTCCCCCGCCCCCTTCCCCACCTACATCATCATTTCCCCTCCCCCCGCATCCAGGATGGCCCCCACGTCCTCCCGGCGCTGGTCGATGCTGGCGGTCTTGGCGCTGCTACTGCTCCTTGCAACGACCAGCATGGCTTTCAACACCGACGACGAGTCGAAGCCGGCCTCTAGTAAGGGAGGCAGTGAGAAGAATGACGGTACGTACCCCGCCCCGCCCCGTCCCGCCCTGCTGCCTCGCCCCTTCCCGCCACCGTCTCCCTCTCATGACGCCATTACCACCACACCAACCCCAAGCCCCGTGCTGACCCTTTGCTCAGACCCCACCTCCTCCGCCAGCGAGAAGGACCTCGAGAAGATGCTCAGCGACTTCAAGAAGGACTGCGCCCCCGGGGCGGTGTACACATACAAGTGCACCGATGAGTGTGACAAGGCTCTGGCCGAGTTGCAGAAGAAAAAGCTCCTGGACAACGACGAGCAGCTGAAGCATCTGCCAAGCAAGGCGCCTGCCATTTGCGCGTGCCTCGATCGCGGCGACGAGCTGGATGCCCTGCTGGTCAGCCTGGAGGAGGACAACTGCTATGACCCGAAGAACCCGCATGCGGTGGAGTGCTCCGACGAGAAGGACTGCCCGAAGCGCATCGAGGAGTTCGCCCAGATGCAGGTGAAGTTCAACTCCGAGTGTGTCACTGTCAGCCTCTACCCGCCAGGGGACAACACCGCGCGCGACAAGCAGCGCGAGGAGATGGAAACCGCCCTGCTGGACATGTGTAACCCCTGTGCCACGAAGTTCGCCGACTTGGAGAAGCTCCTGACGCAGATCCGCGACAAGGGCTGCGACCCGACCCTGGAAAAGCATGTCTGCTCTCCGGAGTGCATCAACCTCACCACCCAGTACCAGGCCGAGACTGGGGCTCTCCTGCGGGAGGAAATCTGCCGGCCCAACATGCCCGGCGGCTGCGGCATCGGGGGCGGCATGAGCGAGGGCAAGATTTATGAGCACCTCCTGTCGGACTCCTTTGGCCTGTTGATGGACCGTTTCAACACCCTGCGCGCCCAGTGCGACCCCAAGTGCCAGGCGGCATATGATCGGTTCTATCGCAGTGGTGTCCATGTGCTGGCTCGGTCCAAGGCCGGCGGTCGCCAGTGCTTCACGTATGACTCCTTTGTCGGCGGCAAGCCCGGCGACAAGATTGACTGGCGCTCGAAGGACATTACCCCGGCCTTTGCCCAGCTTAGCGGGGCCGCCGTCGCCTGCACGGAGGAGGTATGCCGCACGGAGGCGGTATTCTCCGCTCTCCCCCGGACATTTGCTCACGCTCCCCTGTGCTTCTTCCCCTTCCGGCAATCTGACCTCCTCCTCCGCCCCCGCTCACCTTTTTCACATACACACGCACACACACACACACACACGCACGCACATGCCCACCTATGCTCGCCCCTCTGCGTTTATCGGGCGGCCACCCCGGTATATAGTGCCTCCAGATGGCCGATGACCGTATCCTCCGCCGTTTCTTCACCATGCCCTCTTCCTGTCGGATTGCTGCCCCTCGTGAGCTGTACCTGAATGTGCGCTTCTCGGCCTCGTCTTGCACCGCGCCCGGTGGCGAGCTTTACGACAAGAACAAGGACAAGGGCCTCCTCGGCACCAACATCACGGCCAATGTGGTGATTGTCCTGTCACTTTTGTACGTGCCTCTCGGCCACGCAGGCCTCTCGACCTTCTTTTTCCCCCGGCCCTTTCCTGCCTCTCCCCCGGCCCTGCTCCTCGTCCCCCCCCCCGTCTGCCCGCTGACCCCGCGCCCGACATGTGGTCCTTTTGCTGGCGCCTCTGCCCCCTCGAAGCTTCTCCTGTGTTCTGGCCAGCTTCTGCATGGTTACCGGCGCGGTTAACTACTACCGCGGCTACCGTGGCTTGGATGCCCTGCCGAACATTTTCTACTGGAAGAGCCTGGTGCAGGCGGCCCGCGCGGCCGAGGCCCCCGCTGCCACCGCCGGCTCCTCCACCACCAACACCACCCCCGATTCGACGGCTTCCACCCCGCCGGCTGGCGGCCGGCGGCCGCGTCGCAACAACATGAATGAGGACGAGGAGTGGCTCATGTTCAATGATGAGGCCCAGTGAGCGCGCGCGTGTGTGTGTGTGTGTGTGCGGCCACTCCTTCAAAGAAGGCGTCCCCCCCCCCTGTCTTATGATAGCACGGTAGTGAAATTGCCCTCTGCGCGCGCGGCCGGCCGCGCGTTGGCCCCCCCCCCCCCCCCTGCCGCCCCGTCCATCATCGAGTCAGCCCCCCTCTCTCTGGGGGTGTCATGCACGGGAAACATACCAACATAGCCGGGCGTGCCGCAGGCGGTCATCAGCACCGAGGAGGAGGTGGTGTCGGTGAACTTGGACAGACCAAAGTCCGTGATCATGATCCGGGCCTCATCGCTCGGGTCCGAGAAGAGCAGGTTCTCCGGCTTCAGATCACGGTGGACGATGTCCCGCTCGTGCAGGTAGGCAATGCCCTCGAGGATCTCGCGGACCAGGTGCGACGCGTCGCGCTCGGTGTAGCTGCCCTTGGCAACAATGCGGTCGAAAAGCTCACCACCGGTGGCGCTGTGCGGCGGCGCGACAGGATGCATGTCAGAATCTAGCAAGGCATGTGGGCGGGTGTGCAATGGTAATGGCCGCAAATGCGACACGGCGATCCGATCGCAGAGCGACCGGGCAAGGGGCCAGCCAGCACGCACAGATCCATGACGATGTACAGCTTGCTCGGGGTGTCGAAGGCCTCAATCATGGACACGATGTTGACGTGCTTGGCGCGGCGCAGGATCTCCGTCTCGGTCTCGATCATCTCCTCCTTGCCGGCGACCAGGCTCTTGTCGATGATCTTCAGAGCGAAGCGCTGGCCGGTAGTGCGATTGGTACAAAGCCGCACGATACTGAAGTTACCGGAGCCCAGCTCCTCGCCGACCTTGTACTTGGCCTCGAGATCGGACTTGCGGTGACGCGGGAGGTAGGTCTTGAGCTTATTTAGAACAGAGCTCATGGTGGCAGGGGCGACGGCGGCGGCGTCGGCGGCGACGGTGGCAGGTGGCGGCGGCGGCGGCGACGGCGGG